GCAGTATATTTTAATACCTTGATGGTGATGTGGTCATATGCCACTCACTTTGAGCCCTGACTTTTTATCACTTCTGGTCCTGGGCAATGAAGAGTCCCTGTAAGCTCAGCCTCTGTGCTGGTGCCTGCAGCGTCATTCATAGTCAGTGGCAGGGGCTCACTTCTCTTGCTCTCCGGAGGAAACAATGATAAGAACATAGAAAGCCAGCTGGCTGGCTGCGTGATAGTTGTGTCACCTCACCTGCTGATTCTTGATTGAAGGCAGTGGGGAACAGGAAGAGAGCAGCCTCTGTTCCCCATCGTGCCTCTGCCTGCCCTTGTGTCTCCCTGTTGTCATGTGGGGCTCTGACAGTAAGCCCCGGATGATGACCCTCTGAGTATGTGGCCTGTCAGTGTCATCGACTAGCTTTACAGTTTCCTTTTCTGAACCAGGTTGGCCGAATCCTTTATGACACAGGATAAATCACATTGGCCTCCTAATGTGAGCTATCCCCTTTTTTATCCCCTTCTCTGCATAGTATGTAGCCGCAGTAACCTGAGTGGCCTCCACATGTCCACACTTGCCCCCTCCAGCCAGGGGCCTCTTTAGCCAGAATGATCTTTTAAAACTGTTCTCAGCTCATGTTTGTTCCCTCCCCTCTCCCCCCCAACAAAACCAACAACCCTTGACTATTTCCTATCAATCTTCAATAAAGATTAAAATTCTCAACCCTGCCTCTGGGCCCAGCAGGTTGCGTTGCCCTCCTGATCCTCTCAGACCACTCTGCCACCCACTCTCTGGGTCTCAGCCACACTGGCCTTTTTTTTTTTTTTTTTAGTTAAAGTTTATTGGGATGACAATGGTTAGTAAAATTATATGGGTTTCAGGTGTACAATTCTATAATACATCATCTATATACCGCATTGTGTGCTCACCACCCAGAGTCAGTTCTCCTTCCATCACCATATATTTCACTCCTTTTATCCTCATCTCCCTCGCTTTCCCCCCTTACCCTCTGGTAACCACACTGGCCTTCTTTAGGTCTTCAACATGCCCTGCTCCATATCACTGTAGGGCTTCTGCACATCCTGTTTCTCTATCGGCCGTGCCTTACCTCACTTCCGTCCTCCTCCACCAGCAAAAGCTCCAGCTCCTGCTCTTTGTCCAGACCTCAGGGCAGACATTCGTTCCTCCAGGAAACCTTCCCTGGTGCACCTGCCCTGGTTAAAGTCCCCTGTGTGGAATTCCCTAGCCCTATGCCCTTCTCTCTTACAGCACTCCATTCTTAAAGTTTTCATGAATGGGCTTTAAAAAATGAAAACTTTTCTTTTCCACTGAACTGTGAGTTCCATGAAGGCAAAGACCATGTCTGTTTCTGTGTACCCAGATGTCTCAGGGGCCTAGCATTGGACTTGGTGAATAGTAAGTGTGCAGGTTTGTTGAATGAAAGAATGCAAATGATTTGAGGCAGCGTGCTTCCTGATTGGATCTTGAATACATTTTTCATCTCAACTTAGTAAATGTTTATTTGTTCCTTATCAACAGTAAGGTGGGTGTTGCTCTCTATACCAAGTAGGGTAATACATTTTTATGTCAAAGATTTTATATAAAACAATGAAAAACATTATTTGGAAAAAATGTCCCCTATTCATCCTGTCTTTCAAAAAGAAATTTTGAGAAAAATGAGAAGAAGTAACATTCATTCAACCTTTGCGTGTTCAAAAATATCTCATTGTTAGTACATTGAACAAATGCCTCCTGGTCATAGAAGGGAAAGTGAGCTGCAAAATATCTGAAGGCTGACCGAGCCAGGAGATGTGTCAGAGAAAGCAGGCGCAGGAAGACAACTAGCAAAAAAATTGCATTAATTTTCTTTTTAAACTAATAAAAAAGAAAAAAGAGTCAAAATGGAAGAGCTGTCACTTTAAAACTCAATAAATAGTTGAGTGCACACTGAAAAAAAAAAGTAGTAAAGCTTATTTCTTCAAAACCCTTCAGAAGCTTGTAAAATAATATTTTACTATGTTTTCTCCAGCTCTTAAAACCTCACAAATGGAAATGCACAATAAAATGTGAAAATAAAGATCGGCAATTAGTTACGTTCTCAGGGGAGATTTAATTAAAAAAGAAGCATATTTGCACTGCTTCTCCACAGTCAGATGTTTATGGCATTGGTAAAGGAGAACAAACATTTGAAAATTCTGACATAGCTGGTATTTAAAGGATAGCAGTTGGCTAACATTTGTGGTTCTGTATGTTGAATATTTTGGCTCCCATCCTCTGGTATTCATTCTGAAAGATTTATAATCCTTCGGGGAGTGTGGTCAGTGACAAGGGTAGAACTAAATCCTGAAATGTGGAAAAACTAACTTTCCCTAATATAAAACTGTTCTAAAAAAAAGTCCCTCTAGCCTATGAATATGTTTCCAGATTTTCAGAAAAAGCTCTTGATTTACAGAAAATTTTTTTTCTATCAGGATCTAACTTCTTAATGATAAATGTAAAATTTCCATCCTTTGGCTTCAAAATTGGCTTAGAGATAATTCACAAAAATACAAAATCTTACCTTTTGGGCATCTGTTGCAATTACATGACTCTTAAAAAAAATTGATGTCATTGGTTAAATAATGAAGTAAAGCTCAAAGGATGGAAATAGTCTAGAAGAGAAAAATTGAGAGACCTTAAAATGAAATAGGAAATGATTGTGCTGAGTGTATAAGTGTAAAATTGGTATAATGCTAGAATAGCAGTCAAGAAGGTCCTCAATCATGTACAACTGAGAGTGTTGGGACAGTACATTCTTCTTCAGGGATTTGGGACTGTAGTGGGAGGACTCTCTTGGCTTGTCTGAGACATGACAGACTAGCTGATGTCTCGCTTTCTAGTCATGCTTGAGTCTGAAGCCACTGCCTAAAGAACTCTCTCTACCCGAAGCTCTTGGGTTGCATTTTTAAACTTTTAATGTAGGAACCCGACTCTTTTCCTTCAGGTACCCCAGGGGAAACTTTTTGGCTCCTTTATAATGATTTAAAGAAATAAAAAAAAAGCCTTGTTTAATGAATTGTAGTTATTTGCTTTGCTTTGCTTTTTTCTATATTATTTTCTTTAATTAATTATGGGTAGCATTTAGATTCTTCTTTATAGTTCACAAAATATCTGCCTTTTGTTTTTCTAAAAGAAGCACCAGAAGCACTAGAGGGTGGGGGTCCTGTGCCCCCAAACAAGGGAGTTTATGAAACTAACAGTAACACAGAGAGAATTTACTATTTTATGTTTCAAAACCAACTGTAGGGAAATTGGTGTTGTTAAAATTTCCCTCGATGTTGGGGAAAGGACACTAAGAGCTGTAAGAATAAAACTTATTATTTTAAATGTAAATAATAAAATTAAGGCTTTTGCCATTCTAAACTTAATTTTGAATATAGAAGAGAGCCTACATTACCCAGAAGGAAAATTAGTATAAAAATGAACATTGTCAGTGGTATCACCACAGGATAGTGGTTCATAAGATCTTTAGCGATCTGCAGGGAATTTTCTAGAAAGGAGTAAGAGGAAAGGTTGAAGTCTAAGTAGTCCAACTCACTTTTGATGCTTGCCCTCTAGTAATCCCATTTCAGTTTCTTCTTTTAAAAGTAACACATTGTGTTGAATTCACAAAAGGATTTACATATGTGTGTGTGTGTGTGTGTGTGTGTGTGTGTGATATGGAGGGTGATGGGTAACGAATATAATTTCCATATTTTTGTGCTACCATATATGTATGTTCCATATATAATGGATATGGCAATACAAGATCTACATAATTCATAGGTGTCTTCCCTCAAAAATGAGAGAAATATTTATTTGATGCCATTGGTACTATGTTTTGAGGTAGAAATCCAAGACTGTCTTTTATGACCACATTTTACAAAAATAGTTTATTTTTTGCTACTTTAGAAACATTGCTTTTGCCGTATGAGCTATTTTAGTGCTTATACGGGAATTCTTATTTACCAGCCAGTCTTACTAGCAGCAGAAGTAATATGTACTATGCTACATGCTTCAGAAGATTTTCAAGGCATTAATAATGGTCAGTGGGCATTATTTAAGAATTCCTGCAGTAAATTCTGATTTTAATTTCATGGCAGATCAGTTTCACTGATCAATCATTATTATCTTTTTTTAATTTCTCAGATTGTCCTATTTTAAAGGAGCAATTCCTCACTACTCTCTCTGTGTGGTAATTTGCTAAACCGACATTGATTTGCATGACTCTCTAGGTTGGACCAGCATTTTGCTCACAACAGTGAAACCTCCAGCCACCCATCGCATCAGCTCCAGCTCTTAATGGGATTGCCTCCTCTTTCGCAACCCCTGCAACCCTTCTTCCACTCTCTCTCAGTCCCAGTGTGGATTGTTGTACTGCCTCCCCTTTGTCCAGGTTTTCCCTGCTCCACACATACATGCATTTGTAAGGACGTACATATATACAAAGAACATAACGTTTGTAAGAACATATGGATACATGTGTACATGCATAAGCACATACGTACATCTGTAAGAACATAGGTGTGTATGTACATATGTACAAACATAAGAACATACATACATCTGTAAGAATAATTTTCAGACATGGTTTGCACTGCACAGTGTTACTGTTCGAGAGCTGCAGGGACTGCCTGTTACCTCTACATAAAACTTACATTCCTCAGTCGCTCTGTCCAGGCCTGCCCCTTGATTCTATTTAATACAGGAATACGGCCTAATGCTGTAGCTGTTTAAAGCAGACAGGCCACCTTTAAACGCTAACTCTTAATTGGAATAATGTATTATAACACTCTGTACAGCTTTTTCATGCTTCAGCTCTACATGATTCATTTAACACATTGTAACCCATGCAGAGAACTTAAAAAAAAAAACGTAATGTGTCTGCCATGTGTATGGGGAGACATGTTTCCCAGTTCATGGATTCATAACTGTTCAGTAAATTTCTATGGGAGGGTGATCGTAGTTAATCCGCCTGTGGCATTGCATCTTTGTAGGGAGGAAATCAGACAGCTACGGTGATTGCACTGTGTTCAATGAAGGATTTCAACTTAGCGCAAGAGACCTGCCAGTTGGCAATCAGGGATGTTGGATGCCTTGAAGTTTTAATCAATTTACTCGATACAGACGAAGTCAAATGTAAGGTGCGTGGCCTTGTCACTGGATGAGGAACCTTGTTCATACCTTCTTTGGGTACTCTTCTTAGTGCTAGGCGTCTGCCACTCCTGCTTCGTTTCTCGCCTTTATTTGGTATTATTACTGATAACCTGCTACTTCTACTGGTAGCTGCTCTTCTCATCTCTCTGGTTCCCTTCTCTCTCTTCTGGTTCTTTTTCATTAGTATGAGCTTCTTAAATGATGAGTGTTTATACACTTGAAGGAAAATACAAAGGCTATGTGTAATACCTGGGGATAGAAATGTTTTTCTCTAAAATACTTAAATGGGGAAGGATTTTTGGAAGACTTGGAATTTTAAAAAAATATAAGTGTTGGTTCTGTATTAAGCACTCATTTATCTGTAATCGTTTTTCTCCTTTAGATTGGTTCATTAAAAATCCTGAAGGAAATCAGTCATAATCCTCAAATCAGACGTAATATTGTTGACCTTGGAGGCTTACCGGTTATGGTTAATATACTTGATTCTCCACATAAGATTCTGAAATGTTTGGCAGCTGAGACAATTGCAAATGTTGCCAAGTTTAGAAGAGCCCGGCAGGCGGTGAGACATCATGGGGGTATCACCAAACTGGTGAGTATCACCGACGTCGTCATCAGCTGCCACCAAGATTGTCAGCTCCTGCTGTCCTTCCTGGCTACTCCCGGACGTTAAATAACCACAGGGCATGTTCTGCGGGTCTTCTTTTGGTATACTGTGTCCTTGAAAATTGTTTCTGTATATTTATATTAGCAAGTGGCCAAAAAAAACATGTTCAACCTCATTTTGCAAAGAAATATAAATTTAAAACGATAGATGTGCTTTTCACCTATCGTGTTGGTGGGGGTACATCTGTGTGTGGTGCAGTGTTGGTGAGGGGTGGTGAGAGCCTCTGCAGTAGAAAGCAGTCTGATAGCTCTTGCCCTCTGATGTGGTGCCCTCACCACGAGGACTGTCCCCAAGGAGACACAGCTGCAAACACTTGTTCATCTCATTGTTACTTATAAGAGTGACAACTGAAAACAGCGTGTTTTACAATATGAAACAGTAAAATGATTTTCAGTATATCCATAAGAAACACCTGTTTTCAGCTATGAGTGTTGTATTTTGGAAGTTTATTTAGTAACAAGGAATAAATGTATACTTACTATTATATAAAACCATAACAGGATTACAAACCAATGGTACTTATGATCCTAGTTTTGAAAGACCTACCTAACAAGTATAGGAAAGACACTTGAAATAAATACAGAAAATTGTTCATAGGGGTTTTCTCTGAAATGATTTCCAAATTTTCTTCCTACTCTCTCACATTTGGCAGTTTGTTGTAGAAATATTACTTTTATAATCAGAAAAACAATTATCTCAGTTACAACCACTGAAAGAAAAAAGGTATTCTGCTCAACATCCTTGCACGGCAGGAAAGACCTTAATAAAGTGCAATATGGCAATGCATTTCCATCCTCCTTAGTAAAGATCAACAGATCCTGTGTCTCTCTCACAGCTTCTATCATACTGGATGTCATCACATCTGTACTTTAGGCTCCTTAAGATGAGCGAGATGTCTTATTCATCTTTGTGTCACCCACAGCACTTAGTCCCATACCTTACACATATAAAGAGTTAGTAATTATATATTGAATTAATATAGATTTAATGTGAGTAGATGCACATTGAAATTGTGTCCAGAAATTTACTAACACAGACTGTGTTTTCATTTGTAATCTGTAGAACATTATAAATTGTAATTTTTTGCTTCAAAAATAAGATGGACTTATGGCTGGATAGATGGATGAATAGATGGTTAGCCATGTGATGAAACAAATATGGCAGAATGTTAATTATAGACTCTAAGTGGTGGGTATATGGATATTGCTGTATTGTTGCTGTATAATTCTTTCAGCCTTTGCATGTGTTTGAAATTTTTCATAATAAAATCTTGGGAGAGGTAATTATTACTATGATTATCATTATTCTACTTAAATAATGAAATCATATGGTAGGCTGTCCACAGAAACTCCCATTAAATTATAAAAATGAATAATGTAATAGAAAAGTAAAAAATGCATTTATGGGAGTTTATGTATATTTGAGGGCCCAGGATTTGGGCAGTTTTACTAATATAGTCAAGATAATGACACATATTTTAATTTAATTTTTAATAATAGCTAAATCAGGTACAGGACAGACCAATAAGGGATAAACTAATAAACTTGTAATTGCTGGGTTGAGAACACATCTGGGAAGGATCAATATTGGGGATCCTCTTTTGGTTGGTAGGTATGGGGGCGGGGGTAGAATCCCCAAGTAAAACTGGAAACGAGGGAGATCACCAGGGCAGAGATGGAGCAGTGGGCTTGTTATGGCAACAGAGCCAAGGAACCGAGGTCAGAATCAGAGCCGGCAGGAGGTCACTGGCCACCGTGGGGTGTGAGCACCTAGATGGAGGTCAGTTTCTGGAGAGGCCCACCTGGTAGAAGACTGGGCGCAAGATATGAAGCCTGAGTAAGCAGGGAGAATGCATCGGCCATGCATGTACTGCAGGATCTGGTGCACTTAGTCCAGTGGCCAGTTTTTATGTTCCTCTCAATGTACAGCGTATTTGATCTTTTCACTGAAAACCATTTCAAACATTTCTTGAAATGTGTGTCAAGTACAGAACTAGGTGGTGGCATTATGAATATGAATAAACTTATGTCATTGGCCACAGTCATGTCACAGTATCCTGGTGGTGGGGAAAGGGGGATTATAAGCAAAAATATAAGTGTAATGGTAAGTGTTAGGTGTTTTGTGTAGGTCAGTGTTGGGAATAGTGGAGGAACAAAGGAGGAGGTAATTAATTGATTCTACTTGGAGGAAGGTCAGTAAGGATTGGAAAGAAGAAATGTTGCCTTTGCCGAGTCTTGAAAGGTGAGTAGGTATTTGTCAGGCAGACACACCAGGGAAAGGCATTTCAAGATGAAGTCGTGTTGGTAAAGACCCAGAGCTGGAAACAACACTGAGTGTTTGGAAACCACAAGTGGTTTAGTGTGCCAGACCTGGGGTGAGGTGGGCTGCATAATGAGAAGAGAAGATGAAGGACCATGGTGATCACACAGGTCCTTAGCCAATGAGCAATGGAGTTTGAACTTGATATAGATAAAGAGAGAACAACTGTAATAGATGGTACTTTCAGATTATCTGCCTTGTGTTCAATCCCATTGTCTTAGAATTTATTCCCCACATTGCTGTCCTATCCCTGGTAGTACCTGAAGATGTATAAAACTACTTGCCCCCATCCTTCCTTGGGCCATAACTAGTTAGGCCATAGATGTCCACCTAACTCAAGCCACTTTCACTGTATCTCTCCCAGAAACTTGGAATTAGGCATCAGAGACTCCACTTAGTCTGAGCTACTTCCTTCTAAACTCGGGATTGGTGGCCATAATTATGTGGGCAACATCCATGGGATTTGACCTACAGAAAGAGAAGAATGGAGTAGACACGCATAGGATAAAGACAGCTCTGGGGGAGAAGAACGGGGCTGGCTTCACTTCCTCCATGGGGCACCCTGACATACTGCTATATCTATATAAACTACCTTTCCCTAAGGTCTTCGGTGACTTCAGTTATTGCAAGGAAGAGAGACAATCCAATAGCTGTGCCATTTGGTTTGGTAGGTTTTGGTAGAGCAGGTGGAGGGCTGTCTCATGGGTTTAAGAGTATGTAAGTCTATTTGGTTCTCATTAGGAAGTTCTAATGGCTTCATGGAGCCTGCTTTCCTGAGATACCAGGGCTGAGGATGTGGTTTACAGATCTTACTAATGTAAATTTTAGAGCCATATTAAGAAAATACTAACTTGGTGGGATTAAATTTCTTGTGGTAAGGAAATGTAAAAGCTCCCCAAACTGAAGGACGGTGTTTTGAAGGGTTTTGTTCTTTGCTTTCACTGACTATTGTGTAGTATGAAAGTTAATTTTTTAAAAATACAGTAAGTCCCCGACTTACGAACATTCAAGTTGCTAACTTTCACAGATACAAACAGACCTCGCATTATGAACATTCGTAGATGCAAACAAATTGCAGCAGTAACTCACGTGTCTGCTGGACATTGTCACAGTTGTGCTGCTGTGTGCTTACTGTACAGTGTGATAGTGCACAGTAGTATGGTGCTCAATCAGAGCCCAGGTTGTCCAGAAGCAAGAGGAAAAGCAGTGGTGATGTGGAGGGGACTGCTAGGAAGAACAAAGCAATCACCATGGAAACAAAAGTGAAAAGAATTGAGAGATTGGACCAAGGCGAAAAGATGGTAGATGTCGCTTGTTCTTATAACATGAATCATTCAACCATTGGCTTTACATTGTATATTTGTGTCAAAGGTGTACAAGACTCACTTTGTTGGACTTACGAACAAATCTGACTTACGAACGTTCTTCTGAAACGGAACTCGTTTGTAAGTCAGGGACTTACTGTATTCTCATTTTTGATGGAGCTGAGTTTGGTAGCAACCCTATGGCCTTTGCTGTATGCCTTGTTTTATTTTAAA